ATCCAGGTGATTTCAACCCACTGGATCCAGGTGATGAGAGTCACATGAAAAATTTGGTTGAGGGCTGGGATAACAGGAAAGACTCGTCTGCAAATATATTTTGGAGGAAAATCAGAGTCAGTGGCCATTAAGGAAAGGACACTTGCATTATCTCCACCAGTTAACAAGTGAGAAATGTATCGTCCATAAACCATGATTGAAAGGGTGCCGGCTCTAGGAAGGACACTATTTCCATGCTCAGGATCTCATCCTTGCTTACTATCACCAGTGTTTTGCAGTGTATTTTACAGAAAATCTAAAAAAGCAAAAATATCTAAACATTACATAACTAACAAACTTGTAGAATACTAGACTTTTTACAGAGTAAAAACTCTTGAAACAGCACAACAAATAACAAATACAAACTTAGGCAAATGACAAAAAAGCAAAATTTACTTATACAGAAAACAAGATAATACCAATGCAAAGGAGAGACAAGTGAACTTGATATCTAGCATGAGTATTCCGCTATTATTCAGAAACACCAGACACCTATTTCGCTAGCGATCCTCCATCCACAGAACACTGGTTGGCTATGAATGGCTGCAGTGCAAGACAGCTCAGTGCATATGGGTGCAAGATGCTGTACCTCCAGATCCAGGTCTCCAAAAGAAGTGTCCGAAGTGTCTCTGAATATAAGCATTCATGCTGGATGGGACTACAAGCAACACCCAGGAGAGTCATCACTTAAGGAAGGCAAACATGGATATTGGCTCAAGCACAGGCTATAAGGCACCCTGATCTAATGGGTTAATACCAATGATAATAACGAAAAACTTTTCAATTAATAATAATGAAAATAATAATAATCATAATGATAACACTGACATTAATAATGACACTCATATTAATAATGATTGCCACAGTAATGATAATCATAATAAAAATAATATTGACTGGATTATCATAATAAAACTGATAATAATCATAAAAATATTCAAATAAATAATAAGAATAAAGATATTTATGATGTTAAATATCATGATCGATGATGATGATGATGATGATGATGATGATGATGATGATGATGATGATGATGATAATGATGATGATGATGATGAGGAGGAGGAGGAGGAGGACAACGACGACAATAACAATAATAATAAGAGGAGGAAGAACAAAAGAAGAATAGAAGAAAAGATTAAATAATGATAACAACAACAAATAAAAATAATAACAATAAATAATGATAATAACAATATATAATAATAATAAATCTTAATAATAATAACAATAAATAATAATAATAATATTAATTACTAATAATAGCAATATATAACAATAATAATAACAATATAATGCTAACAAGAAATAATAATAATGACAATAATTAATAATAAAAAATAACAATAATAATAAAAATAATAATAATGATAATGATAATGATAATAATAATAATAACAATAAATATAACTAATAACAATCAATAATAATAACAATAATAGTAACAATAATGGTAATAGTGATAATGATAGTGATACTGATAATAATGATAATAATAATAATGATAATAATAATAATAATAATAATAATAATAATAATAATAATAATAATAATAATAATAATAAAATAATAATAATAATAATAATAATATTAATAATAATAATAATAATAATAAAAACAACAAAACTACAACAATAATGATGATAAAATATCATTATTACTATTATCATAATAACAATAATGATGATAATGGTATGATAAAAAAAAAAATTAACACATTAGCAGTGAAAAAAATACAA